TGTTGTTGTTGTTGTTGTTGTTGTTGTTGTTGTTGTTGTTGTTGTTGTTGTTGTTGTTGTTGTTGTTGTTGTTGTTGCTGCTGGTGATGCTGTTGTTGCTGTTGCTGCTGTTACTGATATATTTAAGTGTCTCCTTTTAATTAATTAATTAATTTATTTATTTATTTATTTATTTGTCTCCTTTTTATTTATTTATTTATTTATTTATTTATTTATTTATTTATTTATTTATTTATGTAGGGAGTAACGGAGAAGTTTTTGCATATAAATAATTTAGAGTGTATTTGCCGAGCTCATCAACTTGTTGCTGATGGATATCAATGGTAGGGTTTAGGGTTTAGGGTTTAGGGTTTAGGGTTTATAAGGGTTTAGGGTTTAGGAGGGTTCTTGGGTCAAATGTATAGGGTTTAGGGTTTTTGGTTTATGGTTTAGGGTTTGGAGTTCAGTAGGGTTTAGGGTTTAGGGGTTTAGGGTTTTCCCAAATCCGTTTTAGGGTTTAGGGTTTAGGGTTTGTATATGCTATTGCAGGTGTCATGATAGCAAGGTTTGTACAGTGTTTAGTGCCCCTAATTATTGTTATCGTTGTGGCAATAAGGTAAGCGAGGGTTTAGGGTTTAGGGTTTATGGAGGATTTAGGGTTTAGGGTCTAGGGAGGGTTTAGGGTTTAGGGTTTAGGGTTTAGGAGACATATATACAATTTTCTGTATAAACTGTCTCATTAGATAAGTGTTTACATTTATATAATTGTCTCCTTTATATATAAGTGTCTCCTTTTTATAAGTGTCTCCTTTTTTGTCTCCTTTTTTGTCTCCTTTTTTTTGTCTCCTTTTTTTTGTCTCCTTTTTTTTGTCTCCTTTTTTAGGCCTCTTTGTTAGTGTTGGATGATTTTGGTTCCCGTCGTTTTCTTTCCTTTCGTCATGCACCAGAGAGAGGAGACCCAGAGGTCCTAAACCCTAAACCCTAAACCCTAAACCCTAAACCCTAAACCCTAAACCCTTATTTTTTTTTTTTTTCTTTTCTTTATATACTAGATAGGGGAACTCTAGGCGTAGAGACTAAACCCTAATGTTAGATATAAACCCTCAGGAATCGTAAACCCTAACAGTACCAGCAACCCTAAACCCTAAACCCTAGGAATGTGTGTTGTGCTGCAGATGATGGGGAAAATGCCCAATTATTTAATTTAGGGTTTAGGGTTTTGGGGCTGCATGCAAAATAAGTGTTTTTATTTAATTATTTCTTCTTTATTTGTCTCCTTTTTTCCATAAGAAAAAAAAAAAGGAGACACTAATAAAGGAGACACCTCCTTTTTCCCGTGTCTCTTTGTCTCCTTTTATTCTTGTCTTAGGGTTTGCTGCTGTCTCCTTACAGGAGATACAAACCCTAAACCCTAAACCCTAAATTATCCGTATAAACGTGGCACTTTGGGGTGTATAGGCAGCTCCTTATGCCCATATAAAACCCTAAACCCTAAACCCTAATCTGCATGGTTACTACTACTGCAGCACAAGGATGATTATAAACCCTAATGCATGCATTAGGGTTTATAGGAGATGTTATGTGTCTCCTTTCTCCTTAACTGTCTCCTTTTAGGGTTTATCTGTCCCTTTGCCTCCTCTTATCTGTCTCCTTTTTGTCTCTCTTTCTTTGTTGTCTTCTTTCCCTAGGTGTCTCCTTTTGTGTCTCCTCCCTTCTTCTTTAGACCCTTAGGGTTTATAGTTCTAAGGGTTTAGGGTTTAGGGTTTACCGCTACACGATTTAGAGTTTTAGGGTTTAGGCCTTTAGGGTTTAGGGTTTAGGCCATAGGGTGTTAGGGTTTAGGGTTTAGCTCCGTACTCACTACCGCCAAGGCTGTATGAGGCTCTAAGGGTTTAGGGGATTGAAAGGGTTTAGGGTTTAGGGTTTAGGGTCTAAGGATGCCATAGTCCGGAGAAGACAGCCCTTAAGATCTAGGGTTTAGGGTTTAGGGTTTAGGGTTTAGATAAGGTGTATATATATACACAAGACATGCATGCAGTGGGGAATAGCAAATTTTATTATTAAATAAATTAGGGTTTAGGGTTTAGGGTTTAATGACGTTAAAGGTTAGCAGCAGAGAGGGAGAGAGACAGGCTGCTCCTGCATCAGCAGCAGCAGGAGCAGCAGCAGCAGCAGCAGCAGCAGCTGCTGCTGCATGCTGCTCTTGCTGCTGTAGGGTTTACAGCAACAAGAGATCCACTGGCTAATACTTTAGTAACATAAACCCTAATTCTCTTTTTTTTCTTATAAACCCTAAACCCTAAACCCTAAACCCTAAACCCTAACGACACTCTTGGGGGGCCCGTCAAGCCCCACTAGGGAGAAGCCCCCAAACCCTTCTTTCCTACACAGACAAACCCTAAACCCTAAACCCTAAACCCTAAACCCTAGAGGGTTTCTTTGTGTCTTTAAGGGATTTGTCTGCTGCTCTCGGGCCCCACAACAATTGTAGCACTGCTGCAGCAGCAGCAGCAGCAGCAGCAAGAGCAGCAGCAACAGCAGC